AGGCTGCTTCATGTGATGATGCACTTGGATGTGCCTCAGAGACTCCCTGTCAGTAATTGCTGCTTTTCTCTTCTGTCACAAATACATCCAAACATTTCTTCCCAGCTGTAGATGTGCTGAAGCACTGCTGATGACACCAAATCTGCCATTCCCAGCTCTGGCAAGTCCAGGTTGTAACATGACAGTGGAACTGGCATTTCTCCAAACTTGCATTTTGTGAATATAGATTTTGAAGCAGCAATACATCAGCCATGGGATTTCTAAGGCTGTGTGAATTACAAATGCCTTCCATGCTCGTGCAGGGAGGGATGTCCACTGGCTCCTGTCTCTTCTCCTCTTAGCCACAGAAATGTGATAATGATGCTAAAATCTGCAACAAAATATGAAGAAAAATGTACCATTCTGCAAAACAGAGCACCAGTAACAGATGTTCAGACCAAACAGATAGCATGACATTCAATTTTTATTTCATTGTGTGGGGAAAATTACTCATGCATAGAGGTTAACACATAGAGAAAACCATACAAACAAGCCTGACTAAGAGAAATGTTGCTACAACCTGGTTACTAGTTCCCACCTGAGCTTGGGGGCTTATCCAGTACCTATTCCTACAAATTAACTGTGGCAGAAATAGGGGCTGGTTTTGCTCTTGGGTGTATTGTCACAATGCCAGTCTGACTCCAGAGCATCATCAAACCACATCTGAGATAACAAGGGAGTCAGACCCATAAATCAGGGATTGTAAACAATGATGGCAGATAATATTGGACAATCATCTCTGGCCTCATTCATTCATTAATAAATCAACGGAGATTTATGGTGCAGAGTGCAGCACCACTAAATCTTTGCCCTTTTAAAACCATGTTCATTGAGTTTCAGGCCGACAAAGCAATCGATTACTCCAGAAAAGCATTTTGAAGTAAATCAAAACCATGATAGGAAAGCACATCCATGTAACAGCAGCTTACTGAATTGCAAATGCTTCCAAAAACTGGAAAAAAGCAACTTCTTCCTCACAGAGGTATGCAATCAAGTTTACATCTATATTAGGGATCTGGCATGATGCAGTCTTTTATCTTTTTGTGGTTTACATGTTTATACAGAACAGGGCAGCCTTCCAGCAGCTCTGGCCAAAACCAGAAGAAAGCTTAGCTCTGAGTGAGGAGGCTTTTATTGGAGCAGTGCATTAAATAGGTGCACTGGCTTGTCAACACTCAGCTGTAAATCTGGAGGCACTGCCTGCAGTGCTGACCACCACCATAAACACAGAAAAACCGAGCAGTGTGTGAGTGCCTCTAGAGAGCAAGGTACAGAGAACCTCTCCTGATGTATTCCCAAAGCTCAGGGACCTAATTTGCACTCACATTTTGGCCCAGGTCCACCATTCTGGCAGTGCAAAGGGAAATCAATTGACTAAGCTTCCAGAATTACTTTACAGACTCAAACAGTGTCAAATCAATTTCCCGTGTCTGTGGCAAACACCAGGAAATTCAGAATTAAGAATCCCCAGTGAACTTCCCGCTGTTTCCTTGACCATATGTGTTTAGTGGGGTTTTCATTACCCCATCCTACTTCTCTGTATAGATGTTTTCTATAGATTAACCATTTTTTACTCTGTAATCTGGGACTGGGCACAGCTCGTGATCTGCCAGAAGGTGGTTGATGGAACAGGACACTAAAACTCAGGATCAAACCTACATGCATGCAAGAAAATCAGTTCATCAAAGGAAACCAAGTAAAGAGTCACTCAAAGCTGAACCCAAGGCTTTCTATTGGTAAATTAAAATGTTCATGGGTGTATTTCAGGACTCCTTAATTTTATCTGAAGTGGTTATGTAGCTCCTGGACCAGATAAATGATCACTGGGCTAAGTGATCTCCAGAGTCCCTTCCAGATCCACGCTTCTGCAGCCACACAACACAGCATGTGCTGGATTCATTTCCCACTCAGCATCTAAAGTACAGATGTTTAAACTCCCTGGGCTGCCTGTGTTATCAGAGGGAAACAGACCTGCCTGGGACAGTGAGCCCTGCTCAGGCTCCTGAAGCTGAAAATAAACTGCTAAAAGAGGGAGTGAATAAATACTGCTAAGAGGGGTTAAAACAAAATAGTGTTTTTCCAGTATTTCCTCAGATTCAATTATGTATAGGACTGTGATCCTGCTTCCTTTGTACAGAAAAGCTCCCAATGACATTAATGAGTACTTTTTTTTCCTTAAAAAGATGTACAAAACACAGCCCCTAGACTACAGGCAAAAATATGCAATTTCAGTATAAATCAAGAGTGCTTGGTTCAGCTCCAAGTGCTGTGTGAGAAGAACAGAACTAAAATTCACCTCAAGGCACCCAAAGACAGCAAATGAAATTTTGAGAGAAAGTGTAGGGATTGTAGTTACAGCAAAATGTGCATTGTGTGTTTGTATTGTGCAAGGTTTTGTTCTTCCCTGAGCAGCATGACCTATTTCCCAGCATCATGTGATTTTTGTATTGGAAGACTCTTCTGTAAAGAAATAGAATTAATTTTCCAGTGGAAAATAGACAATACTGATTTTCTTTAGTTCTGCCCAATGAAACAGTTTAACATTACTTTTTATTTATCTTTTTAAACTTCATCACCCTTTAAAAAATACAAGTAAAGCATATGCACATACTTATCTGTTGCTGGAAATAGGTATTTTCATTAATATTTCATACAAAGAAATGTAAAAGGCATCAGGAAAATCCAAATTAAACTACACTAGGATTTAATATGATTTAAAGTCCATTTCCAACCACAACAGCAGCTAAGCACTTAGGCCTTTAAAGTGCACAAAAGGAATTTTAGTTGCCTTCCACACCTCCCACCTCACAGAGGGGCTTAAGTTTCCTGCTTAAATTCTGCTTAGTTGCATGAAGTTTTTTAAACTCTGCAGACGGAGATGAAAATCCAGGAATGTCACCTCTGGCTAAAATCATCTGGCATTCCTAAAACAGGAATTCCTGTGTTCCAGTCTCATAAGCAACACTATCAGACTTTGTGAGATCATTCCTAATTGAGCTAACACTAAATCTGAGAGGAGAGAGAGAGAAAAAAAAAACCCGAGCATATATATAACAGAGACATCTGGAAGGGAACTGTTTATACAAACTCAACAGCTTCTGGAAAGCTGGGCCCTTGAAGTACACACAGGCACTCCAAATCAGCAGTCCCTTCTGAAATGCCCTCTATACATGTATTTTTAGCTTGCAGCTTCTTTATTTCTAGTCATTTCTTCTACTGTACTGGAAGCCTTTGTAATTATGGTGATAGGACTTTTTTTTAATACTGGTGTAACTCAAAAATGGCTAAATGAAAGCTGACCACACTTTTCCAAAGGGGGAAAAAAAAGTTTTATGCATTGAGAAATGTCAGCTCTAACAATAATTCATTTTCAAGTAACTGGTAGAAAGCTGTGCTCATAGAACAGGTTTCTGTTCATTTGTCATTAACAGCTGCACAACCCTGCCAGGAACACAGCAAAACAGGGAATTGTGCAGCAATGAGTAGAAGGCAATGCTGAACATTTGGCAAGCTAAGCAGATACTCAGTTAGGTTGGATTTAAAGCATTAATGACTTTGGGAGATGAATTTTGGCTTTCTCCATCTTTTGTATCACATGCACATTAATGCATTGTGTCAGCATGCATTTTTTTCTTGAGACCTCAAATTAATTAGAGCTTAAATTTAGGACAGGATGTGTCAACACTAGAAAATGTTGATATGCTTCACACATGTGACCAAAGCTGTGCATCTGTGCTTGCTGGAGCACCCCTGAATTTTGAAGAATAGATGAGCCCCAGTTCAATGTCAGTTTTAAGTCTCCTTGACCATTCAGCAGCTTGTGCAGGACCTGCTGTACCGGTATGCCAGTGATTGTCAGGATTCTGCTCACTCCAGGTGGGAATTGGGGCTTCTCTGCACTTGACTGGAAACAACAAGGAGCTGCCTTTGCACCAGGGTGTTGAACATGCCTTAGACACGGCTCAGTACTGAAAACTAACATGAAAACCTTCTCCAGTGATTTCTAACCAATGGTTTGAGAAGCCAGAATGAGATCTGGGGAGGGAGGTGCTCTAGCAGGTGAAATGGGTACTAAGAGAGTCTCTTCAGATGGAGACAAAATGTGCTTCTGATTATATTCACACTTCCAGAAAAATTGACAAGATCAGTGCAGGAGACTTTCTTTCCAGGATGCCCTGCAGACTTTTTGGAGTTCTCTGAAATAGCTGCTTCACTCATGCTCTTAAGCAGATTTCAACTGCTTTGATGTGTTGAGGGGATTTTGCTCAATTGAAAAGGTTAGTAGTGCTTTATTTGAAATCTTGCTTCATGCACACAGCAAAATCTTCAGTGGAAGAGTTTGTTTAAATCCTGGGGATGATAATGGATAAATATCAGGAGAGTTGCTCTCATTACCCAGAGGTAATGGCCAGAACTTCAGAGAGCTCTCTTAAGTGCTGAGAAAGAGAAGATGACATTTGCCAGAAGATGTCAGAACACAGCAGAGCAGGAATATGGAAACTCATGTCTTGGCAAACTTTGTAAGTTCGTGTAAGTAATCGTACCTTTGGGGATTTCTAAAAAGCTGTTTCTGTGTTCATGATTTTTATTTCGAAACTTTAAAAGTACTTTTTTTTTTTTTTTTTTTTTTTTTTTTTAATTTTTTTTTTTTTTTTTTTTTTTTTTTTTTTTTAATCTGCCTTATGCTAAAATACCCTGTGAATGCATTATCCTTTCAGGTTTTCATTTTGATAATTTGATTCTTATGTGCACAACACTCTCACTGGACACAGTAAGCACTGCAAAATAGGACTGCCAGTATGTAATAATATAGGGAATATATACTTTTCTGTAGTTAAAATTTGGGTAGAGCAGAAACAGGTCAGGCAAGCTTAATTGTCATCCTGTTGGTAATACAATCTGAGTATTTTTCTGACTGAAGAATTACATCATGCTCCGTTTCTGCAGTCAAACTACCACGAGCTACTTCTCTGAGATCATTTCTCTGAAGGAGCTACTTCTTATCTGGAAAAGGATTTGTGAGGTACACTAAAATTCACACGAAGAAAAAAAAAAATGAAGCGCTACTCTATGAGCATCCTTCTCCTAACACAAAAGTTGCAGGAAAAAATGAGCTGCAAATACCTGTGTGGAAAATGAAGACAAAGAGGAGGCTCAGCACTTCAGAGGAGCCTTTGTCCTGTCTCTATTCCATGGGAGGACTGAAATACACCTTCCTGCAGGAAGCCAGGGAGGCTGCTGGAATTTATGCAGCCTCCTGTAAAGCCACATCAGCACAGGAGATCAGCCAAAGGGTTTGTGGTTGGCCAAGGCGGCGTGGGCTGAGCAGCATTACACGAGGCTGTCAGAACTGCCAGGAGGAGGCTGTGCTGGAGGACAGAGGGAAGGAAAAGCAACACACCCACCTGACCTAAGGGCAGAAATCCTACAGCTGGAAACCAGCTGAGAGCTCTGGGATGGCAGTAAAGGCACAGCAATAAAGGCATTTAATGGCACTTCAAGTACACACAGCACATAAATATTTAGATATTCCTTGTGTGTACTTTTCAAAAGTAGGTCGAGTTATGGTGTTCTGAGTGTCATATATCACAGGCAAAAGAGGGAGAACATTTGGAACCTAAAACACAGTTAAATCAACTTTTTTTTTTTTTTAAATATAGGTCTGCTCTAGCTGCTGAGGGTAACATTTGCTTTATTGTGAAGATTCAGAGAACATTGTGACCCTCTCTTTCCACGTTACTGCCTAATGTTAATCTCCTCAAAATCTGTATTCTGGAAGTACTTTCAGAGGTAATGAACATGTGATCTTGAAGAAAAAGCTTTAAGAGCTGCAAGCAGTCACCATCTTGGAGATCACACCCAACTATTTAGTGGCATCAGTAAGGTGTTTGAAGGATGACCCTAGGAACTGGTATTTTAAAAATGTTCTGATTCAACTGTTTTGTTTTGTTTTCATTTTCTTCTCTTTTCTTCCTTTTTTTTTTTTTTTTTTAATAAAATTTTTTTTTTTCCTTTTTTTTTTTTTTTTTTTTTTTTAAGAAAAGGTCTTGGTTTCCAAGGTTTGATAATTCCCATGCTGCATCCAAGAAAGCAGAGGAAGACCTTCGTACCTCAACTCATTATTGCCCATAAAAACCTCTTCATGCTGAATTTCTCTGGCCAGGACAGACCTTGCAGGCAATCCCATCACATCCTGAGAATGATTACAAACAAAACCATCACCTTTTAAAACTTACTTTGAACAACGGACCAAACTCGTACTTTGATGCGTTCCGACCTGCTCCTTCATGTTATGTAGGAACAAAAATACACCATCAGTCTGCTGGTGTCACATTTGCACCAATCAAATAGCCCAGGTGAGATCCTGCTCCTTTCATGGAGCGCTTCCACCGTGCTCGGTCCTCGGCAGGGCACGGATTTCTGCAAGCGAGCCCCCACCCCTCCATCGCTTCTCCTCCATCCCGCCCCGGGACTGTGCCATTTATTAACACCGTTCCTGTGCCTTACTGCGAGTTTCCGTCATCCATCCCCCACGGCTCCATCTCCGCCTGTCCCCGCACGGATCCCCCGCGCTCGGCAGCTTCGCCCACCCCAGCCGGGCGCCGCCCGCTCCCTCCCAGCCCCGCGGGGCGGCTGCGGCGGGGCCGGGCCCGCGGGCACCTCCCTCCATCCCTCCCTCCATCCCTCCCTGCGTGCCGCGGGATGCGCTGCCGGGCGGGCGGGCGCGCACGGCCCGCGCTCCCCGGGGGCAGCGGCGGGAGGCAGAGCCATGTCTCCGGTGAGCGGCACGGGCGAGCGGTGTGGCTGCGGGGGAGCCGGGCAGGGTAATCTCCGCACGGCCGCCAGCGGCACGGCGGGGCGCTGGGCGCGGTGCGGGCGCAGGGGGAGCGGCTCCGCCGCATCGCGTCCCGCTGCGGCGCGGGCAGCGCCGAGCCCCGGCCGGGCGCTGCGGGGCGGAGCCGCGCCGGGCGGGAGGAGCGGCGGCGGCGGCGGCCCCTGCCGCCCCCGCTATCTGACCCGACCTTCCCCCTCTCCTCCTCCTCCGCCCCCCGGCTCTCCTGCCCCCAGCGGCCCGGGAGGAACTGAACCATCGCCGCACAGGAAGTAGCGGCTGCGGGGAGCGGCGGCAGCGACAGCCGGGGCTGCCGCACTCAATGAGCGGCGCTCCCGCAGCCGCCCGCCCCGCTCGCCCCTTCCCCGCCTCCCGAGGGCAGCGGCGCCGAGCCAGCCCGCCGCCGCCGGGGGCTGGAGGCTGAAGCGGGCAGAGGCGGCTCCGGGGCTTGAGGAGGAGGAGGAGGCGGCGGCGGGGACTGCAGGTTGGTGCCGCTCTGCCGGCGAGGCGCGGGTACCGGGATGCGGGGGGGAGACGGGCGGCGGACTCTCGGCGGCCGGGGCACCATCCCCGCCCGGCGCTGCCGCACGCCGGGGGCTTGGCCGGGAACCCCTTGGGAGAGGCCCCGGCGCGCCGCCCCCGCTGCGGCGGCTCGGGAGGAGGCGCGGCGGGCCCGGCCCGGCTCGGTCCGGCGGTGCCGGTACCCGGGGCGGCGGGACCGCGGCGGTGCGGGGAACGGCACAGTGGTCCCGGCTGGAAAGCATCCTGCCCATCCCGGGTGAGATGGACGCCGTCCCGGGAGCGCAGGCTGGCCGCTCGCTGCCGGGAGGAGGGCGGCTGGGATCCCCGCCGAGTGCGAGGGATGGATGGATGGACGGACGGACGGACGGATGGATGGACGGGCAAAAAGTGGGGGAACGGTTTAAAACAAAAAGAAAGAAAGAAGGAAAGCCCGTTTCGGAAGAGCCAGGCTGTGCCTGGGTGCACGGCTTGCGAGTGCAAAAATGGAGCAGAGCCAACCCTATTGATCTGAGAGAGGCAACTAAATGGGATGCTGTTGTGCCTGGATTCTGTTCAGAGGGTGCTGATGGATATATTAAGGTGTTAGCCTAACGTGTAGGTATCTAAATAAACACGCTGATTATCCCCTTAGAGCTTTTAATACACTGTCTTCTGATAGAAATTTTTTGTGTTGAGATGGTTACCTGTTTCATGCCACACTTGTATGTTCTTCATATTTCCTCACTGATTAAGCAGAGAGCCTGTGTGGTATGAGAAAGGAAAGTGTCAAGAGTTTCCAAGAATCTTGCTGCTCATTCTTCAAAGCAGCATAATATAATCTCATTAGCTCATCGTGTTATCTTCCTCATTAATTTCGAGGCCAAAATAAACTTCATGGCCTTTCCACCTCTCCTGCTCTGAGGGAAACAGGCTGGAGTCCAAGATGGCATGTTTGCTGTCAGTGAGTTGCTGATGTGCCAAGCGTGTTTGGGAGCAGAGTGGTAAAGCTCTCCTCTTGACTTGGCACTGTTTCTCTTGTGATGACGCTCTTCACTTGAGACTCTGCTTGAACCACAGGTCATATGGGTGAAATTCAGCGTTGTCTCAGATAGGTATATGTCGGGTTTTTTTCAAATTTGATTCTACAAGCAGAAGAACTTGTACGGTTTCCATTAATTTTCTTGCAAGACTGCATCTGTGTAGGAGATGATGAAGTTAAATGGAGTTGTAGTTGAGCATTGGGCTGTTACAGGACTCCTTGTGCTGCAAACAGTTCTGACCCTTGGATTTTAAACGTAAATGTTCTATTATTTCCTGTAACTTGCAGGAGCCTTGGCTTTTGGTTCCCTTCTGTGTACTCTAGTCTTCTTTCTCTTTCACATCTATTGTTACTGAGCCTTCATGATTAAGATTATGCTCATTACTTTCAGTATGGTTTTCAGCCTTTTCTAAGAGCAGTTTTATGTACTCTTAAGAAAGTCTCATTATCTCTTTCTTGCCTAATTCCCACATTCACCTCTCCACCCTTATACATACAGTTAATTGGAGAAAGCAGGACAGAGAACAGTTGGTCTCCAAATATAGCTGGAATTCAACAAGCACAGGAAAAACACCTGACCAGATTGTCCCCGCTGAGCATGATAAAAATGGCAGGACCACTTATCAAAACTTTGTAGTGCAGTTTAACAAAGCATTGCAGATAGCTCCGCTGAGAGTGCTCAAGTTGTGCCTGACAAGGGCTGAAATCAGAATGGGCTTTAGTTGAGGTAATATTAGACAGAAAAAAAGAATGTTTTTTCCTCTTCCCCTTGTGGTTTCTTTTATCTCTGAAGAGGTGCATTAACACACTGGACAAAATTCCACTTAGAGTTACAGGGAACTCTACTAGCACAAAGTATATGTTCTTTTCCCAGCCAGAGCTAAAGCTTTCTGCTCTGTGTTAATCTTCTTACAAAATGAAATTATTACATAGTCTTGTGCTGGCTTCATTTTTTTTTTCCTTTCTGCCTCTGTTAGGAGAAAGATGCATTGTTTTCAAATCCTAAATGGTGTTTTGTTTACTTACAAAACTGTTGCAGAATAATTGGATTTGAGGCTACATTTTGTGAGGAACTAGTGTGAATAAAGTATTGCTGTTAACTGTAATGAGTTCACCTGTTCTAAATTTATGATAGCCATAAATTTTGGGAGGCTGCTTCTACATGTATGCAAATTAAAAAAAAAAAAAGGTTGCATTCAATCTTTCTGCTTTGGCTTACAAGAACATAATTCTTGATAAGAATGGCCAGGCTACTGATGAAAAAACTTAATTATCATCTGGAGTGGTTAAAAATGTCCTGTTCTATCACTGGGTTTTTGGTGTTCATACTTGGTTAGTGCATGCATAGCATGGTTATAGTAGATTCCTGAACTGGTGTCTGGGCAATTGGTACACGGAGTGCTGGGGGATAAAGAACAAAAGAAATGACAAAACCCAAAGAGAACTTAGGACTTCATTGTTTCTCAGACTGTTCTGCTACCTTCTGGTGCAGAGACATCAGTAATAAGTACTCTCTGTCTACACTTGCATTCCATCTTAGGGCCAGGGAGCTTTTGCTTGTGGGTAACTCTTAACAAATAATTGATAACATTTTTTATTACCAAAATGAAAAGGAAGGGAATAGAGATGTATTTTGAGATGTTATCCAAATTTCTCTTCTACCCGTGATATTAACCAAGATAAAACAAGGAAAAGAACACTAATCCCCAGGCCTGTGCTGCATGCTTGATGAAGATCCTCTTAAATGTGTTGCATGAAAATCAGTTTGCCATCTGATGCAGGATCCTGGTAGGATTCCAGGCGTGAGTCAGCACCTAAGTTAGGGACTGATTATCACTAGGACACAGGCACCTGTGGAAAAATCAAGATGTCTAGGAAGTGTTTAATTTGCTTGTGTACCAAACTTGGTTTATTATTTGCAGAGGTCCCAATTTCAAATGGTTAAAAAGGAAGTGAATCCTTGCTTATGTATTTTTTTTTTGATGCCTCCAAAGTCAGTATATACTTAGGATTTATCTGTAATATTTCCTTGTGCCTGTGAGTCTGGGCACATATAAGAGTATGCAAGACGTGACAGTGATGAGAAGCTGAACGCTTAGATGTGTGACACACAAGTCATAGCAAAGATGAAAGAAATATTTGTGTTTTTTGTAAAGACCAATCTGCAAGTGCTGCCTTTGGATCCAGTCCTTTGTAGCTGTGCATGCATTTGCAGCTGTCTAACCAGCATAACTGTGCTGGATGGGACATTTGTCTTGGGAAGCAGGACCTGGGTTTTGTTCTTGTCCAAATGAGTATTCAGTGTTACAAGAAAGAATGGAGAGCCTATGGGGCACTTTTTTTGCAGATAAACCCAAAAACCCATATTGTTTTAGGAGGACAGTGGATTGACTGAGGAAGTGCTGGGTGACAATTATGATGAAGCTTTCCTGGCCTTTTCCCTGGAAGGTATTGAAATAATTCACAGCTCAGGGTACATGAGGATACTTCGTACTGGACTGATGGGCAGAGGAGGCAATCAGAGTGACCTTTCTGTTTTGTGCCTATTTTATGAAGGGGTCAGTGTTGAACTTTCTAAAGTTGTTGATCTTTATGAGACAGACCTGGGGAAGACAGGAATTGGTAGTACATCTCCTTCCTGTTGGTGAAACAGCCCAGTTGCTCCTGTTGCTTTTTTCTGTCTCTCTTTTATTTATTTCTTTCTCCCCAGCCCTTGTGGCTGTGCTGAGCCCCATGCAACTTTAAGGAGAGCGAGCATGTAATTTTGGGCTTTTTCCTCCCCTGGGAATTGGGGAACTTGGGACCTAGGCTCTGTGAAGCTTTCTACTGCATTGCTGTGTTTTTTGTGCACCCATAGGTACCAGTTCCTCTGTAGACAGCCAGCATGAAATAGAGAATGAGCTTTCTGTTCCCTCTTGGATGAGGAATGAAAGCTGGTGTGCTGACTAGTCTTAATACTGTCATTTATTTTGCAGTAGTATCAATAATGAGGTGATTGCTTTCCAAACAAAAGATGTGGTTTGCGTCCCAAAGAGTTTAAAGATCATTTGAAGCTTGGTGTAGTGGAAATCGTAGTTTTCTCTGCCAAAATGGGCTGCGTCCTGAATTGCAACCTTGTTGCCTAATTGTGTGATAACTGCTGGAATTTCAGATTGCTCATGAAAGAAGAAAAAAAAAAAAAGGAAATGCTTATCCTTGAAGTAGATGTTTATTTCCCTGTATTTTATGAGAAAGGAAA